TTCGTATTGTCCATGAAGTTTCTTGGGAATTTTGTTACAGATGACGTCCCCGTTGTTACCTGCCATTGCCCTCTGTTTGCCATGAGTTTCCCCACGTTGCCCGCGACCCACCGGCGGGGAGGTCGAGGGTTGGATTTCGGTTCGCCACGCACTGCACGCTCTCGGAATCCCTTGAGATTTTTTAAGCACGCACTGCACGCCTAAAAATCTCAAGGGATTCCGACAACGGCATCCAGAGAAAGAGTATTCCAAGCTTCGACCACCCTTTTGAAGAAAAAGTACTTCCGAGTGTCCAATCTGGTCCCAGTCCCAAGTATTTTGAGCGGATGACCGCTCATGTCCGTTGTTATTGCTAACTCGAAGAAGTCTCTTGACACAAGACAGCAGCCCTGAACGCGTAATATGAGGAATGTTAGTATCAGGTCCCCCCGATGACGTCTGTAGCACATGGGTAAGAGATTGAGATCTAACAGCCGTGTTTCATAACACCGTGAACCCTGTTCAATGACAAGTTTGGTTGCACGCTTTTGAACATTTTCGAGGGTGTTGATGTTTTTCGCAGCCCAGGGTCTCCAAGCTTGGATAGGGGACTCCAGTTGCGGTCGCACGAAGGTTCCGAAGACTTTGGTTCAGCAGTCGTCATTGAAGACAGAAAAAACTTGTGGATCTGGCTACATTTGCGCAATGCAGGGAGGGTTTAAGCGAGATTGTGATCCAGACTCCCAAGTCCTTCAATGATATGCCATTTAGTCGGTAAACCGTACCGTTTGAAGGACTGATTTTGCCAACTCGAATGATGTTGCACTTGCTCTCATTAAACGGCAGGGGCCAGTCCGACAATTTTTTGGAGTCAGTTTACATTTGTCTGCAAGTTCTCTTCCTATGCCGCAGTTTGCTATCATCGGCGAACATGACGACACCACAATCCGGTTCGCTGACGCAATCGTTGATGTACACAATGAATAAATAGGGCCGAGAACGGAGTCCTGGGGAATACCACATCCAACCGCAACCTTTGCCGACTGTTTGTCGCTGTTATGGACAGTTTGCGAGCGGCTAATTAGGAAACTTTCTATCCATGTCAGAAGCCTACCTCTTCTATGCGGCTGAGTTTATAAAGAAGGTGGTGCAGCACTCTATTGAAAGCCTTTGTGAAGTGGTTATAGACTGCGTGCACTGGATTCCCTCTATCAACTGCCTAGGTCCAACGTTCTACGCAGTAGAGCAAATTTATTATACAGGGCCTACTTCTGCAGAGACAGTGCTGGACATCTAAAAACAGATAGTTTTGTTCCAGAGACTGCATTAGTTGCTGCTTGATTAATCTAGAATTTTGCAGCAGATTACAGTAAGGCTGACCGGTTGATAATTGTTTGCTGAAACCCGGCTTCCACCCTTGTAGAGCGGCGTAATCCTCGCGGATTTTCAATCGGCTGGTTGGCGTCCGGTCTCGAAGGATATTTGGAAGAGCGTAGGAAGTGGTTTTGCCAACTTACTGGCGAGCTCTTTTAGAATCTTGGCCAGTACTTCATCGTGGTGAAGGATTTGAATATCGGCTCAGCAAATGTTTGTGGCGATGCTGGAAGCATATCTTCGTGACTAAATGGCCCTGATACTTAATGCTAAACGTCCCATTGCCCAGAATCTCGCCTATAACGGCCAATAAGATGACCGAAGAGCCGCCAGGTCCGAAGGTGTTCAGTTCGAAATTCATTCCAGCGGGCGCCACTCGTGGATGCGTTGGGCAACTATACAAAGCGGTGAACCTGTCTTCATGGGGTTGAGAACCTTTCAAGTTACAAACCTTCTCAGCATGCCTAGCGGCAAAAATGAGTTCGATGCGTTTTTCTAATCGGTTTTTGTCACTACTTTTTGCCGTTACTTAACCGCCATTTAGAGTTAAGTCATTCTCCAGTCTATCTCTTCTACAAAACCAGACCCGTAAAACTCTGGAGATTAAACTACCTCTTATCTGTTTTGTCACGTTTGTGTTTTTCAGTATTTCTTTAGACTAACGAAAACCGTTTACCCCCCTTTTATTACAATTTTGAATAAAAGCTTCTTTTATGCAACTGCCTCCCCTGGTCTGCACCTACTTATTGACTAAGTTTAAGCAAAATGTCTACTTACAAAATGATAGTAGGTCTTGCATACTAATCGCTGTTCATTTCATGCTTCAGCCTCCTTGCGAATACCTCCGTATCGCTTCCGCCACCGCCATCCTCAACAAACGCGGCCCTATCTCTTCCGGTAAACCTCAAAATACCATTAGTCGATAATCGTGGGCTATTTGGCACCGTAACAGAACCCTCACACGACGAAGCTGAGGAAGAATTTCTTACCGACGTAGGCAAGGAGACTTCAGGACCTCCGGTTGCAAACGCGGTTAGAAGGGAGCCTTCTCATTCACCGAGAAATTCTGGGAGTCCACCTGTTTCCTTTTTCGAACCGGATTCTCTCTCGCCGCCTCCTCAGGTACTCCGCCGGGGCAGGAAACGTAAACATCGATGCTCGTCTGTCCACCACCCAACCACCCCATCTTCGACTCCATCTCCTACGCCAGTGCGGCAGCAGGAGAAAGTAGAGAATTTTCAGTGCAGTGATCCTCCTGTTACGTCCTCAGTTGCTGCTTTCGACCTCTTAGCATCTGTTAGACCCATAAATCTACTGCCAGACATACCTTTGCCCGTCTGCACGAGTTTCGGCGTAGGTGATCTTGCCGGCGCGACACAAGGTTCGTTTGCACGCTTCGTCAACTCAACTGGTTTGCCGAGCTTTAGTGAACTTGGCACTTCCGAGTGTATATTTTCCAACAAAACAGCGGCCCGACAGTGCTCATCAGTTACTGAGTCTAAGCCGCCATCCAGGTGTGAGCAGAAAGAAAACTCCCAGGGAACCGAAACAGACACTCCCACTACCGCCGCTTTCGACAGCTCTGACAGTCAGAATCCCGAGAGCATAAGTTCTTGCAGATCGTCGGCTAGTTCTCAACCAACGCCACTTCTACCGGATTCTATAAAGCTGTCTTTTGCCACTGAACTCTTTAAGCCGGTATTTGCCGATCCGTTAAAACCCTCGCCCTTGACTTTGCCGTTTACTTCTGCGAACGAAAAGGACTCCACAGTGGTCGTTTCTGCGTGTGCTGCTCAGCAGCCTCCAATAACACCGATCAAGTCAGAGGCCACATTCACCCTTTCATCTTGCGGAGTTTTTTCTTCATTGACCTCCTTCGGCACAGCAGGAGCCCTCTGTCCAATGGAACAGTATGTGTCAGCCGGATTTTCGAGACCCGCGCCTGGAATGACTTTTGGCAGCTTTGCTGGGGCCGCGGCCTTTAGATCTGAAAGTTTCAGTGTTCTGGCTGCAAAGGCGAGACAAAGTGAGTCAAATCCTCCGCATGCATCTTCCAAAAGCCTCACTTCTGGTTCCACAGCCTTTGAAGCAGGTGTTGTCACCAGACCGGCCACGTTTTCCGACATTGCCAAAATTGCTAGGGAGACATCCACCGAAGGTGGTAAGCTCGACAAAGACAAAAACGCGGTCCTGTCTGACATCTCATCATCTTCGAATGCAAGTATTCTTCAGGCCTCACCCCTGACCTCGTCCTCTTTCGCATTTGGCAAGAATTTATACGCACCTACCACAGACGCAAGACCGTTTAGTTCACCTCTAAATGACTCGAGTGAACGCTCGCTGTGTGAGGTTTCTTCGTCCGGTAATGAATTCACTGTTCCACCAAACGAACCACTGGGTCCTACCGCGTGGGGAGAGCCCAAGACTCACTCCGATAATGCTCTCAGAAAAGGTTCGAAATCCGTGGGCCGCACATTTCGCCGGCGAGGGCGTCACAACCGCCGGAGACAGAGACCTCCAAATGCCACTCCGTCCGACCCAGCCGTTTTATCTATTCCAGCAAACGAAGACACCGAAGTGGATGCTGTCGTCGATGGGCAGCCGATCCCCCCGGACAACAGCTTACTTGCACCATCCGGTTCGTCACTTCCT